GGGCAGCTCTTTTTGACTATATATATGTATATATCTGCCTACGATTTACAGGGCAGTTTTGTTTGACAATATATACGTAAATACTAAATATAGCGTTATAAAGAAATGCCCAGTGATCCGCAAGTAGAGATGGAGAAGGGGACAAGAAGCGAGCGGACTGTGACAGATTGTGTTGTCAGAGTTTTGCTCAGTCATCAGAAGGCTGAACCCTAATATATACGTATTGAAATATATATTTATATACATATGTTTCTTTTTCTATATATACAGCAGTATATGGATATGACATATATATAAGGGTTCAGCCTCTGATGAGCTGGTGAAACTCAGTCGCCCGTCATTGTCATCCTCCTCTCCCTCTCTGCCTATAGCTACCCGCAAAGCTCTCTATGAGAATCTTGCATAAATAGATAAATACAAGGGGACCCGCAGCGGCTCCGTGCACAGAGCAGCAAGAGGGGGGAGGGGGGGATAGCGAGATGAAAGGAAAGGACGGGAGAAGGGCATTCGGGTCAGCGGCGGAAAAGAAAAAAAAGGGAAGGAAAGTATTCACATAGGCAATAGTAAGAGCAAGAGCGTTTCCCGAATCTGAGCCCTCTCTCTCTCTCTCTCTTTCTTTCTCTCTCTCTTTCTCTCTCTCTGTGTCTCTTTCGGTCATATCCCCCAGTGCCGACTCGATAAAAATGAATACCAACTCTCCATAAACAAATCCCACCCATCCTCGTCCCCATCTCGATTCTTCATCACGCCGACGAGCACCTTCCATCACGACCTGGATCCTGTCTGTGCTCCACTTCCTTCCACCTGTGTGTGTGTGTGTGTGTGTGTGTGTGTGTGTGTGTGTGTGTGTGTGTGTGTGTGTGTGTGTTCCTCGTTGCTGCCTGGATAGCGCTTCCCTTCCGCCACACCCCCGGTCGTGATTCCTCATCTCTTCCATCGCCTACCTGCCCCCTGCCTTCTTGTCATCTCGATCCCGTTCTCTAGCTCCCATCGCTCCCTCTCTCTCTCTCTTTTTTTCCTCACTGCTGCCTGGATATGACTCCCCATCTCTTCCATTGCCTAACCCCCTCCTGCCCTCTCGTCATCTCAATCCCGATCTGTCGCCCCCACCGTTCCCTCTCTCTCTCTCTCTCTCTCTCTCTCTCTCTCTCTCTCTCTCTCTCTCTCTCTCTCTCTCTCTCTCTCTCTCTCTCTGCTGCCTGGATATGACTCATCTCTTCGATCGCCTAAACCCCTCCCGCCCTCTTGTCGTCTCGATCCCGATCTCTCGCCCCCACCTCTCTCTCTCTCTCTCTCTCTCTCTCTCTCTCTCTCTCTCTCTCTCTCTCTCTCTCTCTCTCTCTCTCTCTCTCTCTCTCTCTGTGCTGACTGGATATGACCCCCCATCTCTTCCATCGCCTAACCCCCTCCTGCGATCTTGTCATCTTGTTCCCGATCTCCCTCTTCCCCCCCCCTTCTCTCTCTCTCTCTCTCTCTCTCTCTCTTGATCGACCTCCCTCTGTCTCTCGACCTCACGCCCCCGAACCCCTTCCATCCCGACACTGTCTGCTTTCTACCCCCTTCCGCAGGCCCGCTCTCCCTCTTTGTTCACATCCCGCCTTCCCGTTTCTCTACCGCTTCCCGCCTCCCTTCCATCTGCTCGCTGCTCTTTCTTCGCATCCGACTTTCCTGCTCTTCCCCCCCTGGATCTCGATCTTTCTCTCTCTCTTTCTTTGCATCGTACCCTCCTGCTCTTCCCGGCCTTCCTGTTGCTCTACCGCGTCTTGCCTCCCTTCCATCTGCTCGGTGCTCTTTCTTCGGATCCTACCCTCCCGCTCTTACCCCCCTGGATCTCACTCTTTCTCTCTCTCTGTGTATCTGTACGTGATAGCAATCTCTCTCTCTCTCGTGTCGATGGAAGGAGGAGAAAGCGCGGGAATGGATGATTGGGACAGCTGAAAAGGACGTGAAAGAGGATATGGTTGAAGTGCAGGGGGGAACTCGTTATGTTCACTTTGCCCTCGTTCCTGTATGACACATGTCGATGGAAGGAGGAGAAAGTGAGGGAATGGAGGATCAGGGCAGCTGAATATGGTAGAAGTCCAGGGAAAGAAAAAAAGACAATTGCAGGAGTCATTCCCCCTATTGCTCGTCGTTATGTTCACTTCGCCCTGGTTCCTGTACAGCGCACGTCGATGCAAGAAAGAGGAGAAAGCGAGGGAATGGGGGATCGGGACAGTCGAAAAGGACCTGATGGGGAGAACGGACGAGAAAGAGGATATGGCCGAAGTGCAGGGAAAAAAGAAAAAAAGATGATGACAGGAAATCAACATACCTTGATCAGCCGTGGCGAGCCAATCCAAGGTTCCCCCCAAGCTGGTGTCTTTTTTTCCTTGTTTACTCTTCCGGCCGAGTCCTGATTCCTCCCCTCGTCTTCGGCAGGTCCTAACTCTTTACGATCCTGCAATCTCACCTTGATCGTGTCTTGATACACACTCAACCCCACGCGTCTACAATGTCCAATCCGCCACGTCGGCTCCTTCGTCTTCCAACTCTCCGCTCTTCTTCATGCCGCAATCTCACCTTGATCGTATCACTGTAAGCACTCCAACCTCACACGTCTATAATATCCAATCCGCCATGTTGGCTCCTACGTCTTCCCACCCGCCACTCTTCTTCACGCCCCTCACGCCTGTCTGCACCAACTCACGATGCCCGCGCGTCTCCACACAGGCCACTCTCTTCGCTCTTCTGCCCTTCGTCTACTGTGACCTGCGTTCCTAGCGCGAAATCGCATGTCCACAAACCGCGCTAGGATAGCGCATCTACTTTCTCGACAGCGCACATCCGAATGCCGGAGGTCGCTGTCCCTGTTCACGCGTCAAAACTTCCCGATGCACCACCTGCAACAACTTACCGACGGCACAGTGGCCAAACAATGGACAAATTTTGCCTGGGCCCCGGCAGAAACCGCCAGAAACCACGTCCGAGCGAGTTACCGGTCCATGCTGCCCTTTGGCGTCCCTTCACTGGTGCTCCGGTCCTTGCGTGGGAGCGTCACGCGAGGACCGCTCTTTGCTTAAAGCAGGTAAGGGATAGTTTAGTATATTCAGACTCTTTTTATATGTTTTGAAATGTATACCTACATATCGAATATAGATATTTGAAGTGGTCGTTGTTGTTGCTTTTAGTAGTAGTAGCTGTAGTCATCATTGTCGCAATTGCATTAGTAGTTATTGCCATTGTCGTTGCTGTTGTAGTAGTACTAGTCACGCTCACCTGATTGCAGTGCGGATGTGGGTGCAAGTAGATGTCCTTGCAACTCGGAATTGTGCACAGGCTGGAACTGATCGTAGAGTTCTATTCTCCCATTTGCACTCTGTGTGTGTGTGTGTGTGTGTGTGTGTGTGTGTGTGTGTGTGTGTGTGTGTGTGTGTGTGTGTGTGTGTGCCTGTTTGTGTGTCTGCCATTTGGCACATGTCAGACATGTAACTTCTCCCCCCCCTTCCTCCTGTCAACTGTCACGATGGTCTGCTGGAGAGGTGCCAGCATCTCCTGAAGATGCGGCTGCATCACTGATAAGTCAAGTTCATGGGGGGCGGTTTTTTGGACAAAACGTGCAGACATATGGGTGCCATGGTCTGCTGAAGATGCCTGCCTTTGTCACTGACGGATCATGTTCACAGGGGCCAGGTTTTGGGACAAAATGTGCAACATGTGAAAAAAAGGAAAAGAAAGGTAACAGAATGGATACGAACACAAGATCAGACAGAAAAAAAGCAAAACACAAGCTGGGCCTCTTCTTGATCCCATATGCTTTTGGCAGGTTCGGAAGTGCCTGCCCCCCTGCTCGTACTGCCACCACATCGGTTTTTGAAGGGCTGGTACTAGCCGCTTTTAAGTTTTTTTTTTTTGGTTGGTTTGTTGATTTAGCGGACTGGTGGTTTAAGGTGCTTCAGACAGATACGGCAATTTTCTCATTGAAGCTGATTGATTAGTTGACGAGCGAATCATGCGCCTCCAGGTATTTTGGGGACTACTCTCACTCTTTCCACGATCAGTGGTGCTTATTGCACTAATCAGGCGTGGGGAACTGGCTAGCGGAAAAAGAGGGATCCTGGAGTTGTGCTGGAAACGAAGAGGCTCGTCAGATTTTCAGATAGATGGGGTGCTGCTATTGAAGGACTCGAGCAACAGAGGCCCTTGCAGGATCACTGGCGGGGGCAGTTACCACACAAACGCTAGCCTGAGTGCACAAAGTTGTGTGTGTGCGTGTGTTTATTGAAGCTGTGCTGGAAATGAAGAGTGTTGTCAGATTTTCACGTAGATGGGTGCTGTTATTGGACTCTAGCAATATAGGTGCTTGTGACTTCAAAGCTCTCGAAGATGTCCCTTGCGGGATCACTGACGGGGCATTTACTACACAATGCTAGACCGGGTGCACGGAGTTGTGTGTGTGTGTGTGTGTGTGTGTGTGTGTGAGAGAGAGAGAGAGCGAGCGAGAGAGAGAGAGAGAGAGAGAGAGAGAGAGAGAGAGAGAGAGAGCCATGAAACATTATGATATCAATCTTAATCTGTGCTGCAAATGGTCGGTCCTGTTCCATCCCCTATCTTCTCACACCCTTACATACTGCTCCACCAAGAATTTTGATAACTCTTGTTATAGATGTGTATACCTAGGCTACCAGCCGGGCCGCCCGGGTCCCGGGKGGGCAGCCCGTGCAAGGACCAGGAAAGTTCCCAGCCAAAAAAAAAAAAAAAAAAAAAAAAAAAGACGAAAAAAAACTATGTTATGCAGAAAAATAAACTGAACAACTTTTGCCTCAGGGTCACATCGAAATTCTGCACCAAGTTTAGAATAAAAATAAAATTTTAATTTTTAAAATTTTTATTGTTTTTGGCCCTGCCGGGCAAGTGACCCCGGGCCACTCTGGTAGCCTAGGTGTATACTCTTCTTTTTCTGCTTTGCGCCATTCTTATCTAAGCCTTGTGACTGTTTTCTTACCCTTTTGTCTGTGCAGCACTTCCGTGCGAAGGAGATGATGATGCTCGTACGCTGTCTGTTGGCTCCTCTGGTGTCACTTAGAGCTGGAAGGGTTTCTAGACATGGTTCCATGTTATGTCCCGCTAGCAGCAGGTGAAATCCCTTCATCAATTCGAGTTACACCACCAGCTCCCCGCTCAGCTGCTTTCTTGCAATGAGCGGCATGCGCAGAGGTTGAACATAGCCTTGGTCCGGGCTTCGTAGAGTTTGTGAGAGGGGTGTTGGAAGCAAAGTTCTGCAACACGTGGCAGTGCACTATCGCTTACACATCTTTGCCAAAAAGAAAGAAAGTTCCCGCCCGATCTTGGAAGCTAACAGAACAGCAACAAACTGCACTTTTCTCGCACGTGAGCATTGCGGAAGGCAGGGCACTACTTACATACGTCTCTACAAAACAGGAAATCCCCACCTGTGACCTGACCTTAAAAGTTGACGAAATTGAGCATTTGGAATTTTGGACATGTGAACATTGCTGAAGACAGAACACTGTCAGTGACACAGCTTTACAAAAAAAACAAAAAGAAGGAACTGTAAGGAACGGTACAATGAGAATGCCAATTTTCAAAAATGCAAAAGCTTAGAGAAGAACGAGCATGAATGAGCCGAGTTGAACGCGGAATGCCAAAGCCACTAGCACACTAATCAGGAACACTGATATTGCCCGTACAGGCTCTAGACTCAGACTGGATGGATTGGTACCGGCCTAGACCTAGCCTATCGCTACTGGGCCTCTTAAAATGCCAACTTTGTCTTCTTCTGCTCGGCCTCGAGTACCCGGCACATCTACTGCTACTGGGTGCGGTTCTGGCCTACCTGCTACTTGAGTGTTTTTCCCGCTGCTCCTGGCTCCGCTACTTTCCCTGCTGCAACCCTCAATGCCACGGCCACAGGTAAGTACCGGCCCTATGGGCCTACCAAACAAGCAAGTACCCTTGCGGGTCACACACACTCATGTCGACAAGCACTCAGACAGGCACGCAAGTCAACAGGCACGCACACATACAGACTTAGAAAACACAGCAGCATGCGGGAATCTCAGCAAGGTATCCATTCCATCGGCAGAACTTCAGAAATCAGCAGTGTTCTCAGTCTGTGTTATGGCGGGTCATTACACAAAGGAAGAATACCTGAAACTGGCCAGAATAGTAGTTAGATACTTCGTTGTGAGTATTGGTGTGAGCACAACTTCGTGCACGGACTTCCCCGACTTGGCCTTTTGTTTTTCTTTTTATTTTTCAAACGGGCCAACAAGGCCCAACAGCCCAGCCTCCGCAGACCCCCAAAAAAGTTTGGAAAAAGTGGGAAAACTGCCAGTTCTGAGTTTTCCCATTTTTCCCAAGAGTGACAGAGGTAGTGGTGGTTCAAGAGGTAGAACTTGATATATCACCAAAGGTTGCATAGTATTGTGGCACTAATCTCTGTCCCACGTTTGTGTCACCACGCTCTGGACCTCAATGGTGGATTCTGTGAGCACTGAAAAAATAATATATGGAGTTTCTTGGGTCATCAAGAAGTCAGTGTTTGCGGAGTTGCTCTTTGTGCAGTCGTTCAGCTCTGCTGCTCCACTGGGCATGTCTGTGCCAGCTGGGATGCTCAGCGGGGTACGTGTGTGCCAGGGGGCAGGCCAGAAATGGACCATGAATTGTTCTTCACCTTGATTTTGACTGCCCACCAGGACTGCGCGGCACTAATCTCTGTCCCACGGTTGTGTCACCACGCTCTGGACCTCAATGGTGGATTCTGTGAACACTGAAAAAATAATATATGGAGTTTCTTGGGTCATCAAGAGGTCAGTGTTTGCAGAGTTGCTCTTTGTGCAGTCATTCAGCTCTGCTGCTCCACTGGGCATGTCTGTCCCAGCTGGGATGCTCAGCGGGGTACGTGTGTGCCTGGGGGCAGGCCAGAAATGGACCATGAATTGTTCTTCACCTTGATTTTGACTGCCCACCAGGACTGCGCTTGGCCTGACCCAGGCCGGATGTGCGCTTTTGGAGCTCAACTCGAGGTCACCAGTTAGTCCATGTTGGCGGTGGGCATATTGCCATGCACTGTTGAGTTTTTTTGAAATAAGGTGCCATTGTGCAAGAGGCCTTAGTAATTTTATGCTATATGTGGCCAACAGGTTTGGCTGTTGACCTCTTTGTTTTCCCTTCTACGCAACAGGGCCCTGTTGCGTATGGTGCACATGGAGGTGCATGCAATTGCGCGGTTGTCGTTACACAATGCATGAGCTTGTTCTTGGTTTTACAGCCACCTGGTGATGACCATACGTCATGCGTGACTGCTCCAGTATGGTATATGATCTGTACCTGTGACCCACGGTTCAACACTCTTAGTGGCAGAGGTAACGTGCAAATGTCTAGACCCACTTGTGTGAGTGTGCTGATATGATAACATTTGAAGTACTTGGTACCTGTGATGTGTCTTGTGACTCACTGCTCATCGTTCTTCGGAACCTGGTCACAACCAGACTGTAGATGTATGCAATTGTCCCAATATGATAACAGTCTTGGTCACTTGGAGATATGTGGAAAGTGATTCACTGCAGCTTCAGGGTTTTGTGACATTTGGGGAACACGAAACCCAACTTCTTCGTCTGAAGCCTATGCGCCTATGTGAAACCGAACAGATTCTCAAACTACAGCTAACCCACCTTTGTATCCCTGTGATCTGTCTTTTGACTGCATTGCGCAGAGGGTACTTGAGCCTGATCATGCTCCCTTGCTCTGAGCTACGGCTGTACTTCATTGCAGATAGAGGTGTGGTAGAAAGGGTTGCAGTGCTCACACTGGGCATGGAGAGGCCTGGTGCAGAGCTTCAGATGCTTCAAGGAGATTGCTCAGGGCGAACCTTCTGTATTCGTTTGTGTTCAGGGAGAAAAGTGTTCTTCTGGTAAAGTATAACCACCATCCCTGATCCTCCTTGTTGTCATAATGAAACAGTTCTGTTGTGGTTATTTTGGTGTTGTGGTGATTTTGGTTCAACGTATTCGACTAGTGCGTTTTTGAGTGTCCGTACTAGTCTTGCTGCAATGACACATCAGAAGGTGCTGCTGCCAAGCTTATTGAAAATCCAAATCCAGAACTTTGGGAAATGCGTGAAAATTGGAACAACACAGCGAAGATTAGCATGGCCCCTGCGTGAGGATGACACATAAATTGAGAAATGGTCCAAATTTTAGGACGGAAAAAAAGAAAAAAAGAAAATTCGATGTCAACTCTCGACTTAGTTCAAGTGCGGTGTATGATGGCCTTGCCTGGGAAAGGGGTGAGGCTCGTAACCATTGTTGTTTTTTCTTTGTTGTTCTCTCACTTTGCTCGGGGATGAAGGTCAGGGGGTAAGGGGGGATGCAATGAATGGGGAGGTACTTAAAGATGAATGGCCAATCTGCACCGTAAGATTGATGATCCGTTTTACAATCAAGCGTCATGAGATGGAAGGGCAGCAGTGACGACCTTGAATAATGGGAATAGGATTCCTTTTCGGTGCTGGTCTTTGGCCGTACGCTGTGTTGCATATCCTTTGCGCTAAAGCCAGCTTGCAGAGACACTCCTGGACTCTTAGCTGCCCTCTTCCTTATCTCTCAGGGATCTAATGGGCAGGCGCCACTGGACTAGGTATAGTTCTTTGTTAATGAATTCAACGGTTACAATGAGCCGGTAAGAATCAACTTTGGATGTCATGCATTGGTTTCCTAAACCCAGACGTAGACATAGCAGTGGGGGCTACACCTTAGCTGCGTACCCACTTCTCGCACTGCCTGGCAAGATTCCTTGAGCAGCAGGCCATCAGTAATAATAGGGACTGTCTGCTGTTTTGAAAGGCCTTTGAGCAGATGCTGTTATTATGTCACCTATTTGCTGTGGCAAGATTCCTTGAGCAGGAGGCCATCAGTAATAAGAGGGACTGTCTGCTGTTTTGAAAGGCCTTTGAGCAGATCCTGCTATGTGACCTATTTGCTGTGTATCTCATGGTGGCAGATGGGGGTATATCTGCGCTGTGCACTGTTGCAGTTGTTGTAGCATGTAAACGCAGAGAATGACATCTGTAGAGAGGGCTGCCGGGCAGTTTTCTTTAACCGCCAGTTTTTGATTGAGTTTTGCTAATTGGGATTTTGCACATCCCAGCTTTATTTTTGTTGGTTACGTCCGTGGCTGAATTCTGTTTTTTTTTAGTGGCAGTCTATGCTTGCCAGTCCATCGGCCAGACCCATTGTCTTTTGTGTTTCTTTCTTGTTTCAAAGGAAAAAAAAAACAATGCGTGCATGCTGGGTACACTTTGTCTGGCCGCTCTTACTCGGTTTCTGTTCTTGTTTTCGTGCATGCTGGGTATTATCTGCCTGGCAACTTGTGTCCTGTTGCTATTGTTTTGCTTCTGTATTTATGGTTTTATTTTTGTGCTGCTCCCCATAAGGCCCGCCCGTCCTGCCCCCCGAAAAGAGAGCAGCACTTTTTTTGTTTTTTTTTTTTGACCTGGCTGATGTTCTAAAAGTTGTGTGGGAAACTGCAGTGTAAACTGAATGAAGGTATGATTGCAGTTTCTTGAGATGGAAATACGCCGTGAGATCGTTTTTCTGGCTATGCATTTCCGGAGTGATGGTAAAGGCGAATAAGATTGTCAGTTTGATAGTTGATCAGGACAGGATTGCGAACTTCAAATGTGGTTGTGCTAATTAATTTACAGGTTTGTGTTTGATGATTCATTATTGTTGGTATGTGTTTGTGCCTCATCGCAGGAATTCGGAAAAATGCAAAACATATGGAGATGACTTGATTAGCAAGGTGAGCACATCCTTTCGAAAAGTGTGGGTGGTGTTTGCACATTCTACTAATAGTACCCCAGCTTTTTGAAGAGGTCGCAAATGGCATGCCTGCCTACGTATGCTGTTAGGCTGTTAAAGTACTTCACCGAAATGAGAAATGTGTCGGTGCGGTCATCCGGTCACGTAGATTGTTTTCAACATATTTCTGCTTGGGCACCTTGTATACAGGCATCTTGGCCAGAGTTTCTGGTGGATGGGGCATGGGCTTGCTTGCGCTGTCTTGCACTACGTAAGAGAGGTCAGTCCCGGTCAGGTCAGGGCTTATATCTAAGTCTTCCACTGCACTACAAAGCACCATTTTTGTATGTATCAAGATGTACACTGCTTGCTGAGATTCTACTAGCACTGCATTGTCCATTCAGTCCTTCATCACCTTGCGGATCCTTGGTTATATATGTACATCGCCCAACTGCACATGTAACAAATAGGCAATGCACAGGGATGGGTTTCGCAGGATTTATGGACGGCTCCAAGTCCTTGGAGTTGCTATGTTGTGGCTTGGTTAGAGAGCAAAAAAGCAGTCACCTGAGACAACTGTTGGAAGCCAATTGTCTGTTCTCTCTCCAGGAGCTCATACCTCTTTTCCCAGCTATGGGCGACTATTGAAGAGGAGCACCTCGTATGATTATTGTGACCAGGAATTCAAGTCTTTTTCCCAGCTCGCACACAGTTTGCAGTCAGCGACTAGTCATCTGCTGCTCCAGAAACACAACAGGCCCATAATACAACCTGCAACAGACTGCCTGTTCAGAACATTCACCAGCAGATGGTTTTGTGCATGTCTTGTCCCTTGCTGCTTTCGGATAATCCTCGGCATGTACTCTGGCTTGTAAATCCCATTGAGTATTTGAACCCTGTCGCTATCGTACAAAATCTACAATTCATTCTAACAGCTGAGAGATATTTCTCAGCATTCATCAATTGCAGCTGTATGTGTTGTTGCTGTACCTGAATAGCATGGGTCATGTTGAACATGAAGATGCAGTTTCAGCAGGCCAACTTTGAGATACTCTCTTTACCAGTGTGATGATAGTTGTGGTGCAGCTGAAGGGTACAAGAACCATCATCCTTGTCGTGCACAGTATCTTACCCCACCCGAGGGTCTTGGTCGCAGTGGTGGCAATTAACTGTCGAGTTGTGGTGTGATCCTGTTGTTTCCGGTTTTCGTCAACACTTGTGTGCCTCTTTCTTGTTTGCATATCTGGGTGTCATGATGCTCTTATCTTCTTTGTTTGCTCATGCTGGTACACCTCATAGTGCATGTGGGGCCAGCCTGTGTAGCACACCAAATGTGTTCGGGGCTTTCAATAATGCCAGAACATTTGAGTGTTCGGCTGAGCGTCTCCCTAACATGTTCAGTTGAACAATTTTTTGGTTTTTTATTTTCAACTTGCATTTGGCTAAGATTTTGTTTTTTTGTTTTTTTATTTTGTTTTAAACCACCACTACCTCCACCAGTGTTATGAAAAATGGTAAAAGTGGCCGTTTTCTCACTTTTACCGAAGTTTTCGTGGGTTGGACGAGGCTCGGTAGTTGGGCCTTGAGGGCCCCTTCAAAAAATAAAAAGAAAAACAAAAGATTATGTCGGGGAAGGCCGTGCACCAAGTAGTGCTCACACCAAAATTCACACATTTGTATCTAACCGCATCAGTGGCCAGTTTCAGGTTTTCATTCTTGTGTTTCTTGTTTTCTTTCTTTTTTCAGTTTTGGTGCCCTGCGAGAGAGGCAGGGGGCAGTCCACGGGCTGCTGACACTTTGTGGAGGAGAGCATGCGCACAGCATTACTTTGCAGAGTGTATGGACCTGCTTTCCCGCCCTTAAACCACCAGTACTTGGCCCAGCTATCAATGCCGAGCCGGGATACCCCCTGTGTGCCAAGTTTTGCCGAGCCGGGGGGCCACCGTTTCGTTTTGATTTTGGCTGGCACTTCCAGCCATTTTGGTTCGGTGCCCCGAAGCGCACAACTACCGGCGCGTCAACGGGAATCGCCCGCGGCTGACAGCTGGGCCAAGTACTGGTGGTTTTAAGTTCAGTTTCAATTTTTTTTGCCCTTTTCCTTCTTCCGTGGACCTGACACCCTTGCTGTAACGCCCTCACTGAGGGCATACTCGCATAACGACTTTGGCCTAGGTATCTACCTGGTATCACGTCCTGAGGGGTCTTTGTTTTTTTTCTTTTATTTTTTTGTGCTGCGAGCCGCTCAATTTTTTAAAGTCTGGCCGTGCGTTTTTTATGTTCTTTTCTTTTTCAGGAGAGTGCCAGAAACGAAACAAAATGGAACCCAGGCTCGACAAAACTCTGTGCGCAGTGAAAATCAGGGTCGGCAAAAACAGGCTGGGAGGTAATACCATTTGCAGCCAAAAAAAAAAAAAAAAAAAAAAAAAAAAAAACCAACCCTTTGGACGTGATACCTGTTGGATAGCTAGCCCAAAGTCGTTGTGTGAGTATGCCCTGAGTGAGGGCATTTCGGCAAGGGTGTCAGGTCCAGGGAAGGAAGAGGGAAGAAATAAAATAGAGACTGAAGGGCGGGAAAGCGGCTTCACGCATTCTGCGAAGTAATATGTGGGCATGCCCTCGTCCACAAAGTGTCAGCAGCCTGTGGACTGCGTCGTTCCCCCTGGCGGGGCACCAAAACAAAAAAAAGAACGAAGAAAAAAAACACAAGAAATGAAAATCTGAAACTGGCCACTATAGCGGTCAGATACGAACGTGTGAGTTTTGGCCACTTGGTGCACGGCGTTCCCCGACATGATCTTTTGTTGTTCTTGAACTTGGCCCAGCTATCAGCCGTGCAAAAAAATAAAGTAGAAATATTTCTAGGTGGATGAAATTGGGCGCTCTTGTAGTGGCCCGTACGTTTCCTAAAATGGTGGCTTGTTAACGGGCATGACTTCAGGAAGTTTCAGTGGTTTAAGCCCAACCGAATTGAAACTGATTGAATTACCTGTCGAATCCGGACAGGACGGCCTTTCAGGCCTTTTTTATTGTCATTATAGTATTGTAACGGGGAACACCGTAGCAGCCACATCAGTGCTCAAGCCTCCAACTAAAAAACATGCGGAGGCTGCACCCACCAGCAGGTGCGATACCTGCTACAGCAGGTGGGCGATACCAGCCAGGGGTCAGCCGGTAGCATGAGGACCGAGTTTCTTCGACGGGCCAGTCTCTTGCGTGCCTTACCAACTGAGCTAGGCCGCTGGACTGTTTGGCTAATAATTTGAACATGCCTCCCAGGCGAAAGTTGTTTATATTATTATTTTCCATAACATATATTTTTTTCCAGATTGTTCTGAGATTTTTTTCAAATAAAATTTGTTTGTGTTCGGAGGCTTTTGGCGCTTGTTCACGTTCGGAGGCTTTTGGTGCTCGTTCGCGTTCGGTCGCGAACGTGTGGGTTCAGTCACCGAAGGTGAACACCATGCTGCGTAGGGGCCAGCCTCCTCTCTTTCGTTTTCTTGGGGGGGAGGGGAGGGATGGTAAAGGGGGGAGGGGTTCAAGTAGAGAGAAATAGCCCTCCATGTTAGGATGGACAAAACTAGCTCGGTTAGAACGCATATGAGAAACTGCACATCCAGCTGCAAATTGGACACCTTGGTCTGTGCACACTCAGGTGCATTCTGATCGGGCTAGTTTCTGCTTTTCAAAAGGTGAGCAGGTTTTTAATGCACTTGCCCTTTTTTTCACTCCAGGGGCTTTCATGTGTGATGGATTGAGCGATGATGCATGGAACTTGCTAAGTGTGTTATCCCATGTTGACTGTCTTACCATTTATGCTGCTTGGCACGATGTTGTTTCTGTGATTGGCAGCTGAAAGATCTCCTAGGCCATCCTCCAACATTGTCACAGCTCACTGGTATGTTGGTCCATTCTCCATCTGTTCCTGGTTCCAATAACTTGAAGAAGGAAAGTCGTATGAATTGTGCGACAGTTTTGGTAGTTTGTTTGTGTACATGTGGTTGGTTTGTGATTTGTGTGTGGTCAGAATCGTGTAGCAGTGTCGAGGTTGCCTATGAGAAATGGAGGAGACTGCACATCAGATGAAGATCATAGGAATTTCTTTTTATTTTCGTGTTTTTCTGAATAGACCGTAGTAAAACGTTCTATTCAGCCGTAACAAGTGCTGTCCGAACCATGCGAAATGGTCGGGCTTTCAGGGTTTTGGGGAGGTTGGCAGACAGGTAGATGGGGAGCAGTGGCGGGCGGGAGGCAAGAAGGGAAGCCCAGAACTTCTTGACTCCATCCCAGACCCAGTGCGCTTGCGTGCATGTTAGCAGGCATCAAGCATGTCGTTTGGGATGCTGTATGTGCACATTGCGCACATGTCGGTGCTGTTGGGATCCAGATGTTTCCTTTTCCTAATGATTGACCGGCAAGGCAGTGCAGGTGATCAACCACTGCATGTTGCGGATTTTCGCTGTGTTACGATCCTGGCCAATTTCATGGGGAAATACAATGCCGTCGAATTCCAAACATAAATGAATGAACTTGGGAGGAGAGAGAGGGAAAGAAGAAGAAGAAGAAGAAGAAGAAGATGAAAGACGACGAAGAAGAAGATATACAACAGCATAGACCAATGATAACACCCTCCTTCTCGCCAATGAAATTCAGAAATTTTGAAATAAGGTCAAGGATCACCATCACTTACAAATATCCGTTCCTGCTCTTCTTTCCCATCTCTGTGAAGTCAATGGAGACAGTTTCGGGCTGGCCATACAAACTTTTCCAATAGGCTTCCGCATGTCTTCTCAAAACTGAATTGTCCACTCCGGCCATGAGTCAAGTCCCAGAAGTGAGTACGGATAGGCTCATGGTTGGGTACACACAATCGGTCGTACTTTTCGTAACGTCGGAAGAACAAACCTTCGCCCTCGTGGAAATCACGTTGACTGCTAAGGTCAGCTTGGATCTGCTCAAGGATGGGACTGAGTTCCGGGTCCTTGGCAGTATGCTCAACTAGTTCCTACTTCAATTTCTTACGGAGATCTTAGGAGCCCACAAGGCAAGTCACTCAGGGTGGCGAGACAAAGCATCTGCAACGCGATTGTCTCACCTTTGTAGAGGATATGCAGTTTCTCAGCCTTCGAATCTGTCAGCTGATGCTGACAGATTCGAAGGCTGAGAAACTGCATATCCTTCTACATGCTGATTCGAAGGCTGAGAAACTGCACCTTTGACTGCATGCGTAGATGTGACAACCTCTTATTTGCCCACTTGGGTCCGACAAGGATTTCTCAAAGTCGCTTGCTTCATTCCCAACCGTGCGTTACGAATGCCGTGCAGTGAGAAGTAGTTGGCAGTTGCGCCACAATCAGCCAGCGCACGGATGTATCGGTCATTAAGAAAATCAACTTCGTTTTCCCCTGCGCGCACTCTTGCTTCATGTGAACCCAGCGCAACAAGAGAGCATTAAAGTCAATCTCTTCCGACTCCACCTAAGGGTCCTTGTGGAGGATATGTAGTTTCTCAGCCTTCGAATCAGCATCAGATGGGGTCTCAATAGAGGATTGTTGAGTGGTATCAGAGTCTGTAGAAGGACCTGCACTTGTTCAACCTCTCCTTTTGTAGAGTATGCTGATAATCTCTCTACCCGCTCACTGGTTTTCTGCTGCAATCTGAAACACTGTTGGTAGCGGAACTTGCCATTATATTCAGTAATAGCTGTGTAGCAAGGTTTGGCCGGCAACCCGCCGGTTCAGCTCGCCTGGCGCAACTGGGGCTGGACCGGCTCGGGGGGGATGGGTTTGACGTGGAGGGGTCTAGTAAACAAGCGTACTTATCTGACCCCCACGTGACCCAAAAAGTTCAATTCAGCACCATAGGGTATCATGGACTACACCATTACATATTGGCCCAAGAGGCCGAACGAGATATATGCCAATTCGACTGGGGGTCTGCCGGTCCGACCGGCAGGCTCCCGGTTGGTGCAGAGAGCCCCGGTCCAACTGGGGACCAGCCCTGCTGTGTAGTCTTTTTGTGATACTTCTGGATCCATTGGGATTCTTCTTGGTTGAATCGGAGCTCTGCAACACTCTGGCCACGGTCGAGGATTCCCCCAATTCCTGAGTAAGAATGAGTTAAAAATCTCCACTTCTGGGTTGAAGTTTAGGATCTCCACCTCCTGGCTATTCTGGGTTGATATGGGGAAGGAGATGAACCCAGCCCCACAACTGTTAAGGTAAGCCTATTCTCTCTTTGCCAGACTTGTTTCACTCATGTCCAACCTTCCGCTCTACCGGGTTGGTCTGCATGTCTATTGTCATTGACTTTCTGCTTTCTACCCTCTTCCAAGGTGGTTAAGGATAGGTGATCGACTTACTGGTTGAATGTAAAATCTTCATGCAGACTATAGCAATAACATACACATCTTGAACTGTTGCATGTACTAGCTCATGAATGGCACATGTTGGCTGTCTTCTAAAAGGTAGATTGGAATGCGTTCGGTAGCGTGATCCTGTCAACGGTCATGTTTCTAGCATGCTTCCAGCGTTTACACTATCACCTCAGTGTTTCCTCCATGGCATATTGTCCTGTTGTTCTCTCGCAGCATTGTTGCAGTGTCAACTCATAAGATATTCTCACTGCATGTCTCAGTGTTCTCACTACGTTCTCTCAACCCCAGAGACCAACCATGCTGCCAACATTCACACTGTATCTATCACCTCGGTGTTTTCTTCATGGCAGTGTCCTGTCATTCTCCCACAACACTATTTCACAGTGTTAACTCATGGCAGGTTCTTGCTGCATTCTCTCACCCCCACAGAGCCCCACCATCGAGCTTCTTCATTACTTGCCGGTCTGTCTCTTTTGGCTGAGGGAGACCCCTGTTGTCACTTTCCGCAGGCGCTTATGTTTCTGCTCTGCAGTGGTACTAGTTCTCCTTGAAGGAGACCCCAGGGAACTGCCGAGGGACACTGCTCCTCCATTGTTCTTTTTAGTCACTGTGCATTTTAACACCGACCTAGAGCTCCGGGTCGTTGTCCTTTTCAAAGGGGGCATCCAATATTGACCCCAGGCTCACGTTTCCTGTTCTCCCTAGCATCATTGCTGCCGTTGTGATCTTTTCAGGCCCATGGGAAGTACCTGCACTTCAGTTGCGGGCGTGGTCTATTCGAGAAGTATTCCTCACGACACTGGAAAACAGAGATGAGCACCGCGTACACAGACCTGCACCCACCCGCACCTGCAAGGTGGTGGGTCAGGTGTGGGTGTAAATAAGCTGGCCTGGGTGGGATGATAGTGGGTCTGACTTAGCTGGTGTGCATGGGTTACAGGCGGGTCAATGTTAGGCCTGGGTCGCCCGAATGGGTGGGTGGCAAGTGGGTGAATGTCTGGCTTGGGTCGCCCAACCCGCTGGCCCAGGATGACCCGCAAGGAGCCCCCGCCCTCCCAACCCGTGAGTGTAGGGAAAGACAAAAACATATGTTGGAGGCCAAACAAAAGTGGTCCGGCCCGGGCGGTCTTTACCCCCGAAAAAAAAAATCTTGCGCGGTTGCGGTCCAGCTGCCAGTGGCATATTGGGACCCACCTTAAAAAATGCTGCGGTGTGCCACTGCCGGCTGGACTGTCGGGGTGATTTTGCTCCCGTTAAAAGAACGTGGAGCGAACCTACCTGCAGAGAAGAAGATGAGGTGGCAAGGTTTGCTCCCAGATTTTAATTTGGAGGCTAGCAAGTTTTTGGCGCCGTCAAGCCAAGGACGGCGCAAGGCAGAGCTGGTGCTGTTCTGCAACTTGTTGACACTGTGTTGGTTGTGTTAATAGCTTCTCTTCTCTTATAATTTTTTTTGACATGACACTGTGTTGGTTGTGTCGATAAATCTTTTTTTATTTTTTAAGACATCAATCATCAATGCAAATTATGCAATAAATACACTGATTGTCAATTCTTAAGCAATTCATTTCCCTACACTTATAGAAATCGCTACATGAGAATTGGGCGATCCGGGCCGCCTGTGGTCCTACCGGGCCGACGGTCCGGATTTCCGTGCGATCTTAAGACTTTAAGACTTTAAGATCGCGCAACGATACAGGCTGTCGGCCGTGCTGAACGGCGTGGATCGTCATGCGATCTTGTCTTAATATCATGGGACAATCTGAGCCATTGGCCCAGAAGGACCGATGGCGGCCTGGATAGTCGCACCCGTTGAAAAGAGGGTCCATCATAGGGCTGTCAGCCTGGGGAAAAACCGGTCCCATACGGGGCATAGATCTCTTTTATGAATAGCGGGCAATGCAAAACGCACTCACAAGCATGCCCGCCTGCTCAAGCACACACACAAATGCATGCGCGTACGCAGGCAAATGCATCGTGGGCAGAATGTCGGGGTTCAACTTCCTGACGAGTCGGTGAAAGTCCAACGAAACAGTCTGGCACAGTTGTGTGTGTGTGTGTGTGTGTGTGTGTACGTGCAGGCAAATGCATCGTGGGCAGACTGTCGGGGTTCAACTTCCTGATGAGTTGGTGAAAGTCCAACGAAACAGTCTGGCACAGTCGTGTGTGTGTGTTTGTTTGTGTGTGTGTGTGTGTGTGTGTGTGTGTGAGAGAGAGAGAGAGAGAGAGACCAAGCAGGCCACCATGATGATACAGACTGATGAAAATGACGATGAAGACAATGATGAAGATCAAAGATGAGGAGCATGATTGGGGAGGACAAGGCAAGATGGTAATGGGGTCAGTAATCAGAGAAGGGGGCAGAAACAGGCTATTGTGTTTTTTTTTCTTTTTTTCTTTACTGATTCTGATCACAGAAGCGACATGACGATGGGACAAAATGATGGGATTGGGTTCCAAAAGAGGAGGAAAAGGTAATGGGAAGGAGTTGACGATGTGAAGGACTCTGGGTCGGAATGCAATGGGTTGGGAGCGAAGGATTTGGAGGATTTAGGATGAGGGAAACGGAAGATGGGTTTGGCAGTTGTTATTGGGATGGGTTAGGGGGGAACTGGGGGGGTGCAGGGGGGGATACTAAAGGTGCAAAATCGCACCACACGGCCGTGCCATGGTTATTTGTGTTTTTCTGTTTGTGCGTGTGTGAGAGAGAGAGGGCGGGAACGGGGGAGATCTAGGGGCAAGGAGTGGGAAGGGGGTTGAGGATTGTGCCGTGTGGGTAGGATACGTTAAAGGGGGGGTGGGAGGGTCGGAGG